CTGGCGCGCCTGGAAGACAATCGTTGCGTCCCCCAGCAAAAATCCCCCCACCCCCCCTCCCTCCCTCCCCGCCAGCCTCCGCCGTCCCTCCCTCCCTCCCTCTGCCCCCCGCCCTCCCCCCCCTCCCCTTGGCTCCCTCTCTCCTTCGTTTTTTTGGGCCCTCCTGCTGTCCTTCGCGCCTCCGGCCCTCCCTCCCCCGCCCTCGTCGTCCCCTGTCCCTCACCATCCCCCCTGTCCCCCTCAGCGTTACCCCGCCGAACACGTCCTCCTTGCCTTCCTCGCTGCCAGCCAGGCGACCACCCAGGATCTTCCTCCTCCTCCTCCCCCCCCCCCTCAATTTGGCTCCTGGTTCCCAAGTGGCTGCGTGGTCGTGCAGACGAAGCCTCCCCCCCCAGGGCCGGTCGGGCCTAGAGGGTTGATCAAACTAGGGCCAGGTGACTACCGCTCCAGGGGCCACCGGCGGTGTGGTTGAAGTTATAAGGGACGGCGGACACACGAGGGGAGGAGGGAAACGAAAGGAGAAACATCAAAGTCCCGATGAAGGAAAGGAAGGAGGGGACACAAACTAGTGGCGGCAGCAGTGTGGGAAAGGTGGGAAACTCGTGGGCCTTGTTTGGGTCCCCCCTCCTTTGGGTCTACTGGCCCTGTTGGGCCAGCGCACTGGAGGGTGCCCTGGGCCCCCCCGTTCTGAGGTGGCCACACTGGTCAGCCCTGAGGCGTGGGCGGCGTGGGCAGGTGAAGTGGCGCGCAACAGAGCGTGGGAGGTTCATGAGCTATGTGGAAAGGTCGAGAGGTTGAAACAGGTGCAGCGGCGTTAGGCAAGGTCGAAACAGGCGCAGCGGCGATAGTGGGCGGCGGCGTGCCCGACCCACGTGCGCCACAGTAGAAGGCGCAGGGGCCTCTCCATCTGCTCATAGAAATCCTCCACAGGCGTCTCCGAGGCCACGACGGGATCCCTCGCCTGCAAGCAGACGTGGGGTTCCCAGAGCGTTGGCCTCGGGGCCGCCTTTGGGTTTCTGACCGAGCGTGATGGAAGTTTGCGCCTTCACTGCGCCTTCACTGCGGTGGTGGGGTGCCGCACTCGCTCGGGGGTGTGGCTGGCCACTCTGGCCAGAGTGGAAGGCAGAAGGGCCCCTCCCCCTGCGCATGGAATATCCTACGAAGCGCCCCCCCATCCCCGTGACTGGCACCCTCCCCATGCAAAGCAAGAGTAGGGTACCCAGATTGCGGAGGCGGGGGGCTGCGTGGTGGATTTCCACCGTGCGTGGGGGAGGTTTATGCCTTCCGTGGTGGTCGCACGGCTTTGTTGGTGCGTGCCCGTCCCGAACCCGTGATGACCTCAGCCCCCCCCGCCACAGACCAGGCGCGCCAAGATCGCAGCTGCTGTGATCTGGTAACACAACTGGTTGCAATGCAGATGACGGACGTGAAGAGTGGTAGTGCGCAGACTTCGAAGTGTGCAACAAATTGTAAAGGTCAAATGTCTTGTGGCCGTCTGTGCTGTGGCCGCGGCCACCCTGGCCCTTGCCCGGACGGCCAGCGGTGAGTCCCTCCCCAGTCTCCGCCAAAGTGATCCGCCTCGTTCCCCCGCCACGAAAAGAGGGATGGTGGGAGGTTAGCGTGGAAAAGCGGGGGCGGGTTGTGCAAGAAGATGAACCAGGAGAGAGTGAAGGTTGGAGGTCGGTAGAGGCCCTCATGTGCATAACGTGCTTGTGGGGGAGAGAGCTCCGCGGGGACCCGCTGTCATATCCAGTGGGTGAGAATGCCCCGCAGGGACCCACTCGCGTGCGTCGGATAACGTAGCATGTGGGGTGAGAAAGCCCCGTGAGGACCCACAACATGGCATAGCTGTGATTGTTGTTCTCGCCGTGTGCTGTGCTGCGTAGCTGGGCGTCTGGCGTCTGCGCAAGGTACTGCCGTCGATGGAGAAGTAGGTGAATGACCGTCTGCGTGACGCGCTGCCATTAAGGGAGAGGTGGGCAAGAACCGTCTGTTACCAGCCGTGGTGCTGCCGGTGAAAGTTGGTGAGTGCGTACGTCTTGGCGTAAGAGCAGCGCCGAGATGCAGAAGGGGAATGGAGCAGCTGGTGCAATCTCCTGTCTGCCATGGAAAAAACTTGGTCAAGCATGGAGTATGAGGTTGGTGGCGAACTGATGGGCCGCCGTTCGGCCGGCCCCATCCTGAGGCTAGGGCCTCGCGGTTGTTGGCGATCAGGGGGGAGTCTCCTGATTCGCCGTAGTGTTGTGCTCGAGCTGTTAGGCGACTCCGCAAGGTGGCTATGGCTACCATCCTTGGGCGACTCTGGTCATGGTGGACGCCTCAAGGCTGTGGGCCTGCTGCTCTGGCAGGCCCGTGGGGTTTCGTTGCCCTCCCCCCTGCGGGTTGGTCGTCGGTGCTTCCAGATCCCGGAGGCAGTTGGGAGGCACGGGGTCGTATGTTGGCGTGGTTGCGTCGTGGTCGGTGGTCGTTGTGCGGACATCTGCTGGCACCGGTTGTTGGTCGTTATCCATCACAGTCAGCTGCGCAAGAGGCTTTGGGTTGTGGTGCTGCTGCGGGTCGGCCCCAGTGTTGGCGGTGGTCTGGGCTGTGGCGGGTCTGCGCTCTGCCCGCGCAAGGTTGCAGATTTAGCGAGAGCTTTCTCTAAGCGGTTGAACCTGGCGACGGTGCTGCTGAAGCTGATCTCTTGGTCTTTCAGTGTTGGTGCTTGTGTCAGCGAACCGTGCTGCTGTGGCTCGGTGTGCAGGCTAGGGCTCATGCTTGCGTTGGGCTGCTTGCAATTGGTGGCGTGCTGCAGTTGGCCTGCTGCAGCCTGTGTTTGAGTCACGTGCTCCGAGGTAGCGGCGCTCAGATTGGAATCACGGGCGTTGATCAGCTCGTTCATCTTGTTGATGGCTGCTGCGGCGGTTTGACTCGGGAAGCACGTGATAGAGAAGGGAACAAGTTGAGAGGTCGGATTGTAGCGTATGCCCAGCTTGATGTGCATGAATCGGCTGCGGCGTTGGTAGGCCATTGCAGCGGGCATGGGTATGTCGTCGCAGTCGTCGCCGATCTGGTATGTTAGCATCGTGGCGAGCTGGTGGTTGACGACTTGGGCGAGTACGGTCTATCAAGTGTGCTTCCGGGCAGCCGTGGCTCTCCTCCTCCTCCTCCTCCTCCTCCTCCTCCTCCTCCTCCTCCTCCTCCTCCTCCTCCTCCTCCTCCTCCCTTCCGCCCGCCAACCCGCGTCGGGGGTGGGGGAGATGGGACTTCCCCTTCGGGCGCCGCCCGCCCCCCCCCCCCCCCCCAGCAAACGTCGGGGGGGGAGGGGGGGGATGATTAGACTGATTTCTTTGTTGACGGGGTATGGGGGTTGATGAGTCGGTGGCCGTGGCAAGTGTCCCCGAGCCTCGTCAGCCAGCCCGCGTCTGAGTCCGTGTCGCTCGGGCGGGGGTGCCTGTCGACCTCGGCCAGGTCGTCCTGCCGCTGCCGCGGCCGCCGCCGTTCGCAGCACAGGCATCGCCGAGGCGGGCGTGGCACGAGTGAAGAGCGCACTCCTCCTCCTCCTCCTTCTCCTCCCCCCCTCCCTCCTCATCCTCACCCTCCTCCTCCTTCGCCGCCTCCTCCTCCTCCTTCCTCTCCTCCTTCTCGACCGCTCTGCAGACAGAGGTGGTGAGCGCGAGGCGTCTGACATACGACAACAGGCAACGCATCAAAGCGGTGTCTCTTCTGCGCAGCAGCATGCTTGTACAGACTGGGACAACTCGTTGAAAGCAGTCTCTCGCAAGGCAGCAGGTGAGAATTATAGGGCACCTGTATCTAAGATGCTGGAGGCAACGACGGCAGCGTCGTCTTCTCACATGTTGTCAACCCAATCAATGTCTAGACTTTGCCGAGCCAGGAGGTGTGAGCGCCAGCCGCCCCAGAGCTGCCGACAGCATGTGTACCACACTGAAACATACGAAATACGATCGCCTACAGGAAACAACGAATTCGTGCACATCGCTCAGCAGGCTAAAACAAACCTCGGCATGCAGGTCAATCGGCGCTGGCCACTGCTGCAGGAACCTTACAGGCAACGTCTATGTCGGGTGTGCGCTGCCCTCTTTGGAGCTGTGTCTTGCATATCTTCCTGCTTTGGTTCCAGGACACGTTGCTCGGCGGGTAAGAATATTCCGCGCACTTCGCAGGCATCAAAGGACAGGGTCTGCTGTCAGATGTGGCGCCAGCGTGCCTAGCTTGCCTCCTTCTCCTCCGCCCTCGCCCCCTCCTCCTCCTCCTCCTCCTCCTCCTCCTCCTTCATCCCTCACGCCCGCCTCTCTACCTTCTCTCTCTCTCTCTTTCTCGCCCTATTCTCGTTGCTCGCACCCTCTCCATCCCTTCACCTCCTCCCTCCCCCTTGCACCCCTCTCCTTATCCTCCTCATCCTCCTCCTTCTCCTTCTCCTCTCTCGTCTCCCCCCCTGTGAGGGCATGTTCGTGGAGCTGACCGATGCCCTACCCCCTCCCCGCCTGGCCATTGCCAAGTGGAGTGGTTGAATATTTAGCCCTCCTCCTCCTCCTCCTTCCTCCCTCCCTCCTCCTCCTCCTTCCTCCTCCCCCTCCCCCTCGTCCCCTCCTCTCCCCTCCCCCCTCCACCCCCCCTCCCCCTCCCCCTCCCCCTCACCCTCCCCCCCACCCACCTCCCCCTCACCCCCCCTTCCCCCTCCCCCTCCCCCTCCCCTCCCCTCCTCCTCCTCCTCCTCCTCCTCCTCCTCCTCCTCCTCCTCAGCATCCCTCCTCCTCGCACCTCCCTTTGTCCCCCAACTTCGAGTCCTTGTCACTGGAGCCCTTCACCTCGGCGACCAGGCTCTCGATCAGCGACTTCCTTAAGGGCGCTGCGCGAGGTCTGTCGGACGCCGGGCGACGACAGTGAGGTCGGGCGTGCTAAATTTTGCCCTCGAACCCCCTCGTGGGTCTATCATGGGAAGTTTTTGAACGTTTTCGTGACGTTTTCGGACGCGCTAAGCCCTATTTAATGCCTCCGAAGGCCTCCATGGGCTCCTCCGGGGACGTCGGGGGGTCAGGATCTCGGGCGGAGACAAACCTTACCAGTCGGAGGTGTGGATTGGGGTGGGGGTCGTCCTTCTCGTCGTCGTCCTCCTCCTCCTCCTCGTCCTCCTTTTGTCCTCGTTCTCCCCCTCCTCGTCCTCCTCCTCCTCCTCCACCTCGAGCCTTGCTCTTCCTTCTTATCGTCGCCCTTCTCTTTCTTTGCCTCCCCCTGCCTCCTCCTCCCCCCTCCCCTTTCCTCCTTCAAACTGGTCCTGTCCTGCTCCCTCCCTGCTCCTGCTTCTGCTTCTGCTCCTGACCTCTTCTCCTCCTCCTTCGTCCTCCTTCTCCTCCTCCTCCTCTTCCTCCTCCTCCTCCTTCTCTTCATCGCTCTTCCTTGTACATAACTCCTCCCTGTCAGACCCCGAGGCGGGTCGGCAGCGCGGGCCAGGCGTTTCGCCTGAGACTTCCTCACCGATTGTGATCCTGAAGCTTGAGGAGTTGCAAGAGTTTCACGGAGGGGTGGCGGGCGGTTTTGAACTTGTGGCTCTCGTGTTGGCGCCGCGCACATTCGTCTTAACCGTATGCAGGAGTCCCACGGGTGGAGGGCGGGTCGTTTTCAGAAGGTAGCTCTCGTCGTAGCGCCGCGTACACTTGACTTTCAAGGCTGCCCGGGTTTCACGGATGGACGGCGGGCGGTTTTCAGAATGTGGCTCTCCGCCGCGCGCGTTCGTCTTAACACGTCTGCGGGGGTTTCACGGATGGAGGGCTCTTCCTTTTCAAACGGTGGTTCTCGCCTTTGCCCCACGCGTATTCGCTTGACACGTTTGCAACAATTCATGGATGGAAGGCGGTTCGTTTTCAGAATGGAGCTCTCGCGTTGGCGCCGCGCACGCTCGTCTTAAAAAGGTTGCCAAGGTTTCACGGGTGGATGGCGGGCGGTTTTCAAAATGTGGCTTATCCGCCCGCGCACATTCGTCTTACACATTTGCGGGGGATTTCACGTGTGGAGGGCGGTTCCTTTTCAAAATGTGGCTCTCGCCCTAGCGCCGCGCACATTCGTCTTAAACGCTCGCAAGAGCTTCACGGATGGAGGCCTGTTCCTTCAGAACATGTGGCTCTCGCCTAAGCGCCGCGCACATTCGTCTTAACAGCTTATAGCTCTTTCAAGGACTCTCATGGTTGACGTCCCAGGGACGATGTTTCTGGCACGATTCAAGATTGCCAGGGTGCGGCAGTCGCGTTGCTTCGCGGTATTGACGTCCCAGGAGTGGTGTCCTGGCACGATTCAGGATCGTCAGGTCGCAACAGTAACGTTGATTCGCGGCGTTGTAGGCCCAGGACTGGTTGGTTCTTTTGCACAGTTGAAGGCGTTCAGACGATTGTCTTCCAACGAGGCTCTTCCCGCAGTGAAAACAGATCCTGTAGGAGCCTGTGAAGAAAGAACTTAGAGGGAGGGTTCATTGCAACATAGTTGATGAGTCTTGGGCTTGCACTGCTTCTCCTCCTCCTCCTCCTCCTCTTCCACTTCCCCCTCCTCCTCCGCTTCCTCCTCCTCCTTCTCCTCCTCCTCCTCCTCCTCCTCCTCCTCCTCCTCCCTCCTCCTCCTCCTCCTCCTCCTCCTCCTCCTCCTCCTCCCCCCTCCCTCTACTCCCACTCCTGCCCCCTTCTCCCCCTCCCACCCCTTCCTCCTCTCTTCCTCCTCCCCTCCCTTCTCTCCTCCTCCCCTCCTCCTCCTCTCTCCTCCTCCTCCTCCTCCTCCTCCCCCTCCTCCTCCATCTCCTCCTCCTCCTCCTCCTCCTCCTCCTCCTCCTCCTCCTCCTCCTCCTCCCGTCGTTCGCACTCTTCCCTTTTCTCCACTTCTCCGTTCTGTCAAGTCGGACGTGTGTACAGGATGCCTACACTGTAGGGCACTGCGACTGTTCAACCTGCAACAGTGCAAGTGGCAAGCAGCGAATATGTTAGCGCTACCCACTTGACATGCTGATGAATAATGCCTGAACACAGGTTCGGGACGGGCCACTACTATGAGAGGTGGGGCGGGAAGAAGCTGTAAAACATTTGGAGGACTTCCAACGGCACGGTTCTGACGTCGGTGGGCCGAGACTGGCTGGGTCGCTGGAGTGGTAGCCATGTAAAACCCAAGGGCTTGTCGGAACAACGGGACAGCCGAACGTGAGAGCCACAAGTCATGGGGTGACGATAGGAATGCGAGCTTGTCCCGAGTGGGGTGGGATGGCGGCAGAAATGCGTACTCAGTGGGGATGATTTGGCCACATGAAGCGTTTACTAATCTGAGCTATGGCACAGAACTGGCGGACGGGATGCCTCATCATATTATAACGCAGCGAAGAGCGATCCATTCCGAATGTCACTTGCCACGCGCACGCTGCATCTTTTCAACGCCTGCGCCTTCTCGAAAGACCCTGGTAAGAACTTCATCGAACCAACGAGCACGAGCACGAAGGGGCCTGCGTGTCGGAGAAAGAGAAGGGAGGGGTTGTTGTGCGGGGTACATCGAATAACACAACCATGTGAACATCAACTTTCGGAGGTCCGCGTCGATTTTTGGGGTCGGCGCTGGACCCCCCCCCTCCCTGGCACGCGGAAGGAGGGAGGAGGAGAAGGAGGAGGAGGAGGAGCAGGAGGAGGAGAAGGAGGAGAAGGATGAGAAGTGGAAGAGGAGGAGGAGGAGGAGGAGGAGGAGGAGGAGGCGGGGGAGGGAGGAGGAGGAGGAGGACGAGGAGGAGGAGGATCAGGCGGAGGAGGAGGAGGAGGAGGTGGAGGAGGAGGAGGATGATCAGCAGGAGGGGAGGATGAGGAAGAGGAAGTGGATGATGCTGATGCTGATGATGATGATGATGCTGATGATGATGATGATGATGATGATGATGATGATGAGGATGAGAGGAGGAGGAGGAGGAGGAGGAGGAGGAGGAGGAGGGGGGCGATGATGATGCTGATGCTGCTGCCAAGGATGTTGCTGATGATGCTACTGCTGATGATGATGCTGATGCTGATGAGGATGCTGCTGCTGATGATGCTGATGGTGCTGGTGATGGTGATGATGGTGATGATGATTATGATGATGATGATGATGATGATGATGATGATGATGATGATGATGATGATGAATATGATGATGCTGATGATGACGATGATGAAGATGATGATGCTGCTGCTGATGATGATGTTGAGGATGCTGATGATGATAAGGAGGAGGAGGAGGACGAGGAAGAGGAGCAGGAGGATGATGAGGAGGATGAGGAGGAGAAAGAGGGGGAAGAGGATGACGAGGAGGAGGCGGCGGGGGAGGATGAGGATGATGATGATGAGGAGGAGGAAGATGAGGAGGATGAGGTGGATGAGGAGAAGGAGGAGGCGGTGGAGGAGGAGGCAGAGAAGGAGGATGAGGAGGCGGAGGCTGAGGAGGAGGAGGAGGAGCAGGAGCAGCCGGAGGATGAGGAGGCGGAGGAGGATGAGGAGGAGGAACAGGATGATGAGAAGGCTGATGATGATGAGGAGGAGGAGGAGAATGAGGAGGAGGAGGAGCAGCAGGAGGAGCAGGATGAGGATGAGGTTGAGGAGGAGGAGGAGGACGAGGAGGAGGAGGAAGAGGTGGAGGAGGAGCAGGAAAAGGAACAGCATGAGGAGGAGGAGGAGTAGGAGGAGGACCAGTGTAAACCCAAGAGTCACCAACGATGTTGGAATAAACCTTCCCCCTAAGCTTCCTCATCATAGGCCTCTACAACGGTGCACTTCCACAGAGGGACCTGCCTCGTTGGAAGATGACCGCTTGAAGACCCTGAAGCATGCCAAAACATTATTCTCGGTATTCCAACGCCACGGATGAACATGACTGTTGCGTCTGGACTCCGCGAACCATCGTAATTATTGCGCCCTCAAGATCGTGGATCCTTCCAAAACTCAATTTCTGGTACGTCGACCATGGAAATCCGTGAAACTCTTGCAAATTTGTATCACGAATATGCGCGGCGCTGGGGCGAGAGCCACATATTGTAAAAGAACCGCCCTCAATCCGTGAAACTCTCCCAACTTTTTAAAGCGAATGAGCGCGGCGCTGGAACGATAACCACATTTTGAAAAAGAACCGCCCACAATCCGTGAAACTCTTGCACAATTTAAAAACGAATGTGCGCGATGATAAGGCGAGAACCACCCTTTGAAAACCACCCGCCTTTAATTCGTGAAGCTCTTGTTGCAATGTTTAAAATGAATGTGCGCGGCGCTAAGGCGAGAACCACATTTTGAAAACCACCCGCCCTCCATCGGTGAAACTGTTGTCACTTTGCAAACGTAAGAACTATGCATGGTGAGGAAGTCTCAGGCGAAACGCGCGGTCCGCCCTAAAAACTGGCCCCGGGGTGCGACAGGGAGGAGTTATCTGTAAGGAGAAGGGATGGAGGAGGAGGAGGCGGAGGAGGATGAGGAGGAGGAGAAGGAGGAGGAGGATGAAGAGAACCAGGAGGAGGAGGAGCAGCAGCAGCAGGAGGCGGAGGAGGAGGAGGAGGACGAGGACGAGGATGACGAGGCGGAGGTGGAGGAGGAGGAGGAGAAGGATAAGGAGGAAGAGGAGGGGGAGGAGGAGAGGGAGAAGGATGAGGATGAAGACGATGATGATGAGGAGGAGCAGGAGGAGTAGATATAGGAGGAGGATGAGGACGAGGAGCAGGAGGAGGAGGAGGATAAGGAGGAGGAGGAGGAGCAGGAAGAGGGAGAGGAGGAGGAGAAGAAGGAGGAAGAGGAGCAGTAGGAGGAGGAGGAACAGCAGGATGAGGAGGAGGACGAGGAGGTGGATGAGGATAAGGATGAGAATGATGATGATTATGCTGATGCTGATGACGATGATCATGATGATAATGATGAGGATGATGATGCTGCTGCTGCTGATGATGATGATGCTGCTGATGATTTTATGATGATGATGAGGAGGAGGTAGAGGAGGAGGAGGAGGAGGAGGAGGAGGAGCAGGAGGAGGAGGATGAGGAGGAGGAGCGGGAGGAGGAGAGGGAGGATGAGGATGATAATGATGAGGAGTAGCAGGAGGAGGAGGAGGAGGAGGAGAAGGAGGAGGTAGAGGAGGAGGATGAGGAGGAGCAGGATGAGGATGAGGAGGAAGGAGAGGATGAGGAGGAGCAGGAGGAGCTGGAGAAGAATCAGCGGCAGCAGAAGAAGGAGGAGGAGGAGCAGCAGCATGAGGATGCTGATGATGATGATGATAATGATGATGATGATGATGATGATGATGATGATGATGATGATGATGATGATGATGATGATGATGATGATGAGGATGACGACGATGACGATGATGATGCTGATGATGATGCTGATGATGCTGATGATGATGCTGCTGATGTTGATGATGATGTTGTCGATGATGCAGATGATGATGCTGGTGATGATAATGATGATACTGATAAGCATGATGATGAGGAGGAAGAGGCGGAGGAGGAGGGGCAGGAGGAGGAGGAGGAGGAGGAAGAGGAGGAGGAGGAGGAGGAAGAGGAGGAGGAGGAGAAGGAGAGAGGAGGAAGAGGAGGAGGAGGCGGAGGAGGAGGAAGGAGGAGGAGGAGGAGGAGGAGGAGGAGGAGGAGGCGGAGGCGAAGGAGGAGGAGGAGGAGGAGGAGGAGGAGGAGGGAGGAGGGGAATACTGAGGAATAGGAGGAGGAGGAGGAGGAGGAGGAGGAGGAGGAGGAGGAGGAGGAGGCGGAGGCGGAGGAGGAGGACGAGGAGGAGGAGGAGGAGGAGAAGGAGGAGGAGTGGAGGTGGAGGGGAAGGAGCAGCATGAGGAGGAGGAGGAGCAACTGACCCGCGCGACGAGTTGCTCGCGAGCCTCCTGGCGAGGCAGAACAAGTTGACGAAGGACGACATCGGCCTGATCAAGGACCTCTTGAATCATCCCAGCCGGGGCGCAGCCTCAGACAGCGCTGGCCCGGCTGGCACTGCCCAGGGCTCAGCGGCCGGCGGGAAGCGCCTCAAATCGCCGGACTCGGCGGCGCCTCCCCACCCGGACGCGGAGAGGAAGAGGATTCATGATGAGATCCAGGCGAAGGTGTGTCCTGAGGCTGACACCACCGACTGGCCGTCTGACCACGCTGGCTGGGCAGCCAAGTGTGCGGATGCCACTACCCATACCATGCTCAACGCGGTTTCGAAGGCGGTGAACCTGTCCACCAGTGGCGCCATCAGCAAGGTCGACAAAGTGCAGAACCTCATCAAGTATCTGGAGTCGTGAGAGGAGTGGCAGTGTCTCGATTACCACACATTCTGTCGGAGCGTAGCTGCTCGCCAGCCGCGCCCGCCGGAAACACCCCCGGAGGCACCCTCGGACACGATAGCTTGCACCGGCTCTGGTGCGTGCTCTCGAGTGACAGCCAGCCAGAACGTTACGACATGACGTTCCTAGAGTTTCTTTGGACGCTCGCAGTTTTGCTTTGGTTGCCGTTCGCGCTGACGGCTGATCTCCTTCAGATGGCCATTGAGCGGGCCACCAGGCTCCGAGGGACAGCTAATACGGTGCTGGCCCTTCTCCTCTCCCACGGCCTGCTTCTCCATGCTGCTGCCCAACTTTTCCGGGTGGGTCTAGCAGCAGCACCAGCAGGATACGAGCATAAGATCACCGATTTCTTATCGGTGGGTGACATTCCTATTCTCAATGCGACGATCGAATTGCAATTTAGCAGCGGCAGCGCAGTGTATCATATCTTGTTGTCATTTGTCCTCCTCCTCATCTCTTGCTGCACGCTTGCCGCTCGCTTCTTCCTTACACTTCTCTCAGCGATCACCTCATGCATCGCCTTCATAAGCCGGTGATTGCCACGAGTACTGTCCGCAGCTATGCGGCTCTCCAAAGGGGATGGCGTAACCCTGCCAAGTGTCGGTCCACAGCCCGAGACGGAGCGCATACGAGCCACCAGGGACGAAACTGCATCACATCCGGCACGCATTCTTCTTCCACTTTCCACTTCCATCATCTCGTCCTCGAGTCTATCTTTCTTGCAGGGCGGGCCGGACGGAGTGGATGAGAGCAGTCGTGTGGGGTCAGAGGCAGTTCTTGTGTCTGATTGCTTGTGCATTGCATTCTAACTGCGTATCAGCAGCAGGAGGAGGAGGAGGAGGACGATGCGGAGGTGGAGGAGGAGGAGAAGGAGGAGGAGGAGAAGGAGGAGGAGGAGGAAGAGGAGCAGGAGGAGGAGGAGGAAGAGGAGGAGAAGGAGGAGGAGGAGGAAAAGGAGGAGGAGGAGGAGAAGGAGGAGGAGGAGGAGCAGCATGAGGAGGATGAGGAGGAGGATGAGGAAGAGGAAGAGGAAGAGGAGGAGGAGAAGGAGGAGGACGAGGTGGAGGTGGAGGAAGAGGGGCAGCAGCAGGAGGAGGAGGAGGAGGAGGAGGAGCAGCAGCAGCAGGAGGAAGAGCTGGAGGAGGAGGAGGATGAGGAGCAGGAGGAGGAGGATGAGGAGGAACAGGAGGAGGATGAGTAGCAGCATGAGGAAGAGCAGGAGGAAGAGGAGGAAGAGGAGGAGGAGGAGGAGGAGGAGGAGAAGTAGGAGGAGAAGGAGTCGGAGGAGGAGGAGGAGGAAGAGGAGGAGGAGGAGGAGGAGGAGGAGGAAGAGGAGGAACAGGAAAAATATAATCGAAGGCGCCTCTGCCTGTCGCGGGCCTCGCGCAGGCGCGCCTGCTCCCGGAAGGCCTCCTTTATGGGAGGGCGGTGTGCGCTCGGTGGGTCTGCGCCCCACTCCTCCACCTCCCCTCCCCTCCTCCCCTCCTTTCTCTCTCGCTCCCCCTCCCTCCATTCTCTTTCCTCCTCCACCTCCCTTCCTCCTCCCTCCTCCCCTCCGCCCCTCCTTCCTCTCTGGCTCCTCCCCCTTCCTCCATTCTCTCTCTCCTCCTCCCCGCCTTTCCTTCCCTGCATTCCCTCCTGCTGGCTCCTCCCGCCCTCCTCGCCTCCCTCCCCACCTCGTGCGCTCCCGTCCATCCTCGTGGCCCGCTTTTCCTCCCTGTCTATGACGCCACCCCTCGAACCACCGATATCGGACATCCCCGAGTCGTGGCCAACTGAGAAAATAACATTCGCAATGATGCTTTAGACGGGCTACATATGGGGAGGAGAGGGGGGGAGAGGAAACAGAGCAAGGACGAACGATGAGCAAACACGTAGGGAAGGTGAAGGAAATTCTACTTCTAATTCTATCTAACGCGGGGGTCCTGCTCTAGGCAGGCCGCACATTCAATATTCAGCCTCTGTCGGGGAACGACGTGCCAGACTTTGGTGGCAGTCCCATTAGAAGGCGTTACAGCACCTCTCGCCCCACTTTCGAAGCTTCACCGCACACTCCTTTCCGGATGCGGGGAGGCGCGACAGAGCAGTGTCCTCCACACACAATGCGAAACAGGACACCCCTCAGGACCGACAGTCGGTGGGAGGGGTGACAGCGGTCGGCCAGGGGGTGGTCCAGGGCACCCCCCCATGCAAATCCGACGGCCCCAGGGCATCGGGGACAGGGTCGGGACCAGGATCGCTCCTCTCCACTCGCGGCCCCAGCGGCTGGACACGCTGCTGAATGATGCATCTGGGCTTGCACGACATGGGCCAAAAACCAGCGAGCTGTCCTCTGAGACTGTAGCCTAACCCACATCGCCTACACTTAATGCAAGCCCTCAGAACATCAGGGTCGTGCCCTGCATCTCGCAATCTGCAAATACGCTCGGAGAGGGAGGTGACCATGCCGCGAGTTCGCTGCGGCTCGCGGAGACCACCCCGTTCTCGGTCCGAGGAAAACAAAATCTCGCGCTGGATGGTCAAAATCCTTTTCAAAACTTGCACAGCAAGGCCATCGGCACGCAAAACCTGGGAAACAGAGGCTTCGCTCAACTGGGCCTTCTCCGCGGCCCAATCGGCGAAACGATCAGCAGCTGTGTTGAGATACGCTTCAACATCAGACAACACATGCTCTCGGCCTGGGCTTGGGTGGGGTGTCCTTTGCTCCAGATCAGTTGGAGTGAGCCCCCTCGTTCTGACAGTACTCGGATATTCAGCCCAGAGATCAAGCACTCAAATCTACGCACAAGAATGACATCAACTCCTCTTTCAAGACCAGCACCGCAGAAGTGCTTCGAGGCCTGGCCCCAGGACAGGCCGGGACAGGTTTTCAACAGAGAAACCCAAAGCTGAAGGCTCCGTGCGCCAATGCGCTGGTGACAACGCCTGCCAACCTAGTTCACGAAGCACAGCAATAGTGGCCGACACCGGCCCTTTGACAATCTGCTAGCGGTACTTGGCATGGTCCATCTTAGCAGAGCCCTTATTCCAAACATCAACACACAACCTTCGGGATCTGCGGTCAAGTTCAGTCCGAGCCATGGCCCGTCCATTGGGCTGCTCATAACGGAGCCTAAACTGGGGGTCATCCGTCGCATCCCTCAACAACGCAAGGAGAGTGGTGGTGCACGAACCAGGGGCCCACGACCCAGAGCACGTGGCGGCTTGGGCCCTCATGGACTTGACCTGCCCTGGGGGCAGCCCGAGGACTTCGTGGCCCCGCGGCCCCGCAACCGGGGCCCCGGGCTTGTGTAACTTACTCGCTTGGCCCACCAGCCGAGCAAGAAATTGCACCTTCTTGCTTCTTCGGTAGGCAACAGCGCGCCTCTGGCGAAGCTGGGTCACATTACGACGAACGCCTGCAGAAGACATGGCCCTCAGATCTCGGACGGAAGTTCGCCATTGAATGTGGGTGGTGGTGGTGGTGGTGTTGGTGGTGGTGGTGGGGGGACTGACATGAACCTCTGCGTAACCTCGGCTCCGAGGCCTGCGTGGGAGCAAACTAGCGTACTCTTGTCAGCGATGGACGTGCCGGCCGCCTCCAGCTGGTGACGCGAATTCACTGCGGCAGGCGCGAAAGATGCAAGGATCTCCTCGCTCGTGCCTTGCTGCGTCTGCGCGATGTCATCCACGTAGCCCTTGATGCGCGCGGGCAGGAATGACGCGTGGGCCTGGTCCATAATGTCATGCGTATAAATCTTAAGCCACGGCATGGGTTGGCCACATCCAGGCAAGATGCCCACGCCAGTGGGGGGAAGGTCAAAATGACCCCCCTGGGCCTCAAGAGTGCGAGGAGCCTCGTGCAGCACAATCCCCAAATACAAGAGGAACAGGGGGTGCCTCATCTTCGCGGCGAGTCCAGCCTGGCGGCAGGGATCGACAGTATCAAACAAATCTGGAGGTCCCAGTAGGCACCGATGGATCACATACCGAGGTACCTGGCCATCTCGTGGCCGAGCTCTCGGTGAAGTGCTGCTTGCAGACCAGGAGGGCCCGCGAATGGCAGTGTCCCAATGGTTCGCTTGGGCGAGCGTCGAATTCTCGATGTGGCTTCCACGCGCTTTGCAATGAACGCGGTACACAGTGGGACACTTGCCAACAAGGGGCTCGCTCTCAGCAGACTTTGGAAGCAAAGCCCCGGCATGATCTGGGTCGGCCACATGAGCCGACGCTCGCACTCGTTGAGGAGGCGGGTAAAGCCACGCGCAGCATCTGGCGGCAAGGAGACGAGCAAACGAGGAAGCCACTGGTCGACACAAACAGCCGTGTCCTCACGAAAAAACCGCGCAGCTCTCTGAATATCCCCAGAGCCCAACAGCTCAAGGTCCTCCTCAGCTTCCAAGGCCCGAGGCCTAAGGGCATCCATAACTCCAGAAAGCTGCTCCTGCTGGTCCCCTTTGGCCTTCCAAAATTTACACCAGAAGTCCTCTCGGCATTTCATCATGTCCCCAGGAAGCTGGTGCACCTCAGCTGGTGCAACCAGGACCTCGATATCAGCGCTTTGGTCGCGCTTAGGCTAAGCATGCGCTCGCTTGGCGCCTCTTGGCAATGCCTTGGGGAACCGCCGCTACATGCAAGCAAGCCTTAGTTTCCTCGCGCGCGGCGCTCCACGCCTTAGTGGGGTGTGGGGTGGGGGGTGGGGGTGGGGGGTGGGGTGGGTGGGGGGGGGGGGAGGGGTGGTGGTGGTGGCTGTGCGTGGTGTGTGTGTGTGTGGTGTGTGTGTGTGTGGGTGTGTGTGTGTGTGTGTGGTGTGGTGGTGGTGGTGGTGGTGGTGGTGGTGGCGGTGGTGGTGGCGGTGGCGGTGGCGGTGGTGGTGGTGGTGGTGTGGTGGTGTGGTGGTGGTGGTGGTGGTGGTGGGGGTTGTTGTTGTGGCGGTGGTGGTGGTGGTGGTGGTGGTGGTTGTGTGTGTGTGTGGTGGGTGGTGGTGGGTGGTGTGTGTGTATGTGTGTCCAAGGGGCTTAGTTTGAGCGGCCCGCGCGCGCAGTAGAGGGCACGCGTGCAACGCCGGGGCATTGTGTTCCGTCCTGTGTCCTCGACGGCCAGTAGGTGCCGGCAAGAGTCGCTCTCTTGTCGCCTCGGCCGGGTTGCTGCGCACGGCGGGGTGTAGCAACGCCAGTGGCATTCCCGAGCCGGGGGCGCACGCTTCACGCTGCGAGTGAAGTGTGCTGCGCTTCCCCGCCAGAGCCCGCAGTCCACTCCACGCGTACACGTGCCAGTCGTTCGCCAATTTCGTTGGCACGTTCGTCAGGAACTTATTCAAGAAGCTGTTCGTTCGCAAAGTTTGTGTACATTTTCGGCTACTACGCCATTCTACCTAATAACAAGTCTATGCAAAACTTTGCAGGCAGGAAGGTCCCATGACCTTGTCAAGTGTGTGTTGTCGCGTGCTCTGGCACGCGTCCGGGCATTCATTCGCTACTCCCGCGAATGTCCGTGAACCGCTCTGCGGCCCCTCACAAGAAACCTAACAACGGTCTACAATAATGCGGGCGCGAATTCGGGCAGGATTTCTTTGACCGGCGACCAGTCTGCTCCGGTGTGGCTGGTTGCGCTGTGGGGACAGCGCAAGGCAGAGCCGATGCAACTTTGGTGCGTATCGTATCGACGGTTGGCGCCTCTCCCCTCTGGGCTCCCCCCTTCTGCCTCCTTCCTCCCTCTCTCCCTCTTCCTCCGGGCATATTTCTGTGGCCTGCGTTCGGGACAAGAAGCGTCGCCAGCGGTCGCGCGCCCCTTTTTCCCGAACAGGTGCAGTCATCGAGGCGATTCCGTTGCCGATGGCTGCCGTGTTAGTGTCTCCTTTCTCTCCTCTCCCTCTGCTCCCTCCGCTCTTCCCACATGTTGCCCTTGTAATGTTTTCAGTTTGCTGTGATGGCCACATCGCGGGCATCCCCGGCCTCGTTGGGTGGACGTTGTGAAACCCTGATCGGTGTCTAGTTGCGTCGGGCATGGCTTCGGCCCTGTTCGGGGGGACGTGACGTCCTTCGGTGTAGCACGGCCCTTCGGGACAACCTAATAAACCACGAGAGCAACCTAACAACGCTCATCGCCGCGCCTGATTCCCCCCCCTCCTTGTTATCCCGTCCTTGGCGTCGTGCTGGGCATGGAATTCTACGACCAATTCGGGGTGGAGGTGGACGGCGACCGTCGTCGCGGTCGTGCTCGTCGTCCCCGCGGCCTTCCCGGTCCTCCCACGCTTCGCTTTGTTTTTCCGCGCTCTCGCTTTCTGCTGTCGTTTCGTCCTCCTCTTTCCTCCCCTTCCACCTTCCTCTCCGATCGCTTGGTCCTCCCCTTCGTCGTCGTCGCTGTCGTTGTCGCTTCAGCCTCATTGCATGACGTTCTTCATACCTTGCGCTTCAATGCATGATGTCCTGGCC